CAAACATGTAATAACACATAATACTAAACATAATATTACACAAAAAACATGTAATAATGGCTGATTCTTCAACACTCACTGGGGAAGTGTGAGGTACAAACTTCCAAATATTGTCTCATTATTTTGCATAAAAGTATTCAGGCAGTCTAATTAAATTAAATTGAAACGTAGAACAAGTTCTAGATATTAAGTTAGCCTTGAAATGCAGTTTCCCGTTAGCTAAAAATAAACAAACTAATAAACTAATATGAAGTGAATCTGCAGAACATAAATCAGAACCTTGTTATGGTTTGTTACAGTGCATAACAATGCTATGTTCACAATATTTTTATGAACAGATATTATCATATTATTATAACGTGTTATAAAATCTGACATTATGAAGTTGTACACTTCTGTTTTATAAAGTATTATACAAGTTACGTTGCGTTAGCAGCAGTTTGAAAAGATGGAGCTTCACAGGTCTCAGAAGAAGCCTGTGCTAGCATTCACCCTCCTAGCGTTGGTAGTATCGTGTGATTGGGGGAGTCTTAACTAGCGAGTAGAATTGGAAACGACTAAATTGGGCAGAAAATTGGGTAAAAATCCCAAAAAATTGCATTTATAGTGGTTTAAGAATTCAGGATTCATAGGAAGTGTTCGCAATATTGTTTATTGTTGTTTGTAATGGTCACTGATATTAATGCTTAAGTCGAAGTAGAAAATACACTCAACTTTTTATATTATATTTATGAGCACTTTGTTTTTCTTCAGTGCTGTCCACGGACCATCCATAGTGGTTGGATTTTCCTTCTGATGAGATTATTATTTTATGCTCATTGATTTATAGAAGAGCACAAAAGCAAGGTCAACAAAATGTTAACTGTTGTCAGTGTTAACTGGTCAATTCTCACAGAGTGTAAAATCTGATTTGGCAGTGATGAGATTTAAATTTATGCATATCTATCTTTGAGAGCAGCTTCCTGACCTCACAGAAAGATTATGACTATAGGATTGATTAGTCTAGGGGTGTAACATCCTTGTCCTGGAGGGCCAGTGTCCAGCACACCTTTGAGCTTTCTCAACTCAAACACACTCACTAAACCTTGCAATTAACAGAAGCATGTGATCAAGTGTGGTAGAGCAGGTAAACCACCAAACTGGGCTGGACAGCAGCCCTCTAGAACTAGAGTTGTGCATGCCTTGATTAGTCTACTGCCACTGCAAATTACACCATATGTTGATTACGACACCCCCTCCTGAGCAGCCAATCACATCAAAGCAGCCCACTGAAACTGCCAATCAAATCAAAGGGTTCCATCTGCTTCTCTGATCTCATAAAAATGAAACACATTCTCTCACTTCTACAGATCTGCATCAAAACAACTGCAGCACAAAAGAAATGTGTTATATGCTTAATCTGAAGTAGAAAATCTGACCTGAGATCAGGTAAAATGTGAAGATGAGGAGGATCTTCATCCTGAACTGAACTTCAGCTTCGCTGATACCCACTAAACTCTAGTCAGCTTTTTATTACAGTTTGTTTTTGCTCTGCTCAGAGTTCAATTCTACTCTTCTCTGTAATGTATAGTCCTCTCTGTGTGCCTCTGTCCTCTCTTCTGTCTGGTTTGGTTGGTTCCTCTTTCTCTGGAAAGGGTCAGAGATGCTCAAACTTACTCTTCTGACCAGCATCACTGACCACAAACCAAATTACACACACAGGATATTACTGGATATTTTTTTTTTGTGCTGTGACATTAATGTATGTTTCTGGCAAAGCCATGAAGCAAAACAAGTACATAAAGATATGGTCAAGGGTCAGAACTCATTGAAATATCACAGAGAGACTGCAAAATGTCAGGATAAAATCAGAGGTACAGTGGTGTGAAAAAGTGTTTGCCCCCTTCCTGATTTCTTATTCTTTTGCATGTTTGTCACACTTAAATGTTTCAGATCACCAAACAAATTTAAATATTAGACAAAGATAACACACGTAAACACAAAATGCGGTTTATAAATGAAGGTCTTTATTATTAAGGGAAAAATCCAAACCTACAGGGCCCTGTGTGAAAAAGTGATTGCCCCCACTCCCGGTAAAACATAAATTAACTGTGGTTTATCACATCTTTGGAAAGCTGAATTCAATTTCCCTAGCCACACCCAGGCCTGATTACTGCCACACCTGTTCTTAATCAAAAAATCACTTAAATAGGACCTGCCTGACAAAGTGAAGTAGACCAAAAGATCCTCAAAAGCTAGACATCATGCTGCAATCCAAAGAAATTCAAGAACAAATAAGAAACAAAGTAATTGAGATCTATCAGTGTTCATGACTCCACCATAAGAAAGAGACTGGGCAAAAATGGCCTGCATGGCAGAATTCCAAGATGAAAACCACTGCTGAGCAAAAAGAACATAAAGGCTCATCTCAGTTTTGCCAGAAAACATCTTGATCCCCAAGACTTTTGGGAGAATACTCTGTGGACTGACGAGACAAAAGTTGAACTTTTTGGAAGGTGTATGTTCCGTTACATCTGGCGTAGAAGTAACACAGCATTTCAGAAAAGGAACATACCAACAGTAAAATATGGTGGTGGTAGTGTGATGGTCTGGGGCTGTTCTGCTGCTTCAGGACCTGGAAGACTTGCTGTGGTAAATGGACCCATGAATTCTGCTGTCTACCAAAAAATCCTGAAGGAGAATGTCCAGCCATCTGTTCGTGACCTCAAGCTGAAGCGCACTTGGGTTCTGCAGCAGGACAATGATCCAAAACACACCAGCAAGTCCATCCCTGAATGGCTTAAGAAAAACAAAATTAAGGCTTTGGAGTGGCCTAGTCAAAGTCCTGACCTGAATCCGATTGAGATGCTGTGGCATGACCTTAAAAAGGCGGTTCATGCTCAGAAACCCTCCAATGTGGCTGAATTACAACAATTCAACAAAGATGAGTGGCCAAAATTCCTCCACAGCGCTGTAAAAGACTCATTGCCAGTTATCACAAACACTTGATTGCAGCTGTTGCTGCTAAGGGTGGCCCAACCAGTTATTAGGTTTAGGAGGCAATCACTTTTTCACACAGGGCCCTGTAGGTTTGGATTTCTTTTCCCCTTAATAATAAAGACCTTTCATTTATACTTGTCTAATATGTACATTTGTTTGGTGATCTGAAACATTTAAGTGTGACAAACATACAAAAGAATAAGAAATCAGGAGGGGGCAAACACTTTTTCACACCACTGTACATGTAGAGGTTGTAATTAAGCCTGAGAATGAGCCGCAGATGTGTGTAATTAAGAGTAATGATAGAGGGATGAGAATGGATGGACATAATTAATGCTTTTCAACTTTTTTTTTAAACTCCACATAATTCAATCTAACAAGTTCAGAAATTATTTACTGTGACTTTTTATTCAGCAGCAGTTATTCATTTTTTTTTTTCCAGGGACTCTTGCAAAGCATTCTGGAACAGTTTTTGCTGTGTGCATGGAGATCAGAGTTTGTCTGTGGCTGATAAATTAAAGAAAGCGTGAAATTGGAGCAGAAGCTTTGTGTCCTCTTTCAATACCAGCACCACTACAGTAATATGTCTTCCTGCTTGTCCTGCTTGAGCTACCAGCATTTGAACCATAATCCTTATTGAATAAACAACAGCTGGTCTCAAATCATTACAAGAAAACCACCACCACCACACTGGAGAGCCGAAACTCAGAGAGAGTGAGGATGAGGAGAATCTTCATTCTCTGTCCTCTATTTGATCCAGTCACTCATATTTTATTTATTTATTTTTTTGTATTTACTTATAACAGTGTTTGTTCTTCTGTAACTGCATCCTGTTCTAAGTGCAGCTGCTATGTTAATTTTTTATTTCCAAAACAAACAAACAAAAAGTGTTGCTGGTTGTTGCTGTCAGTCATCTCATATTCTGTGTTTTAACTTTGATTTATTGGAACTTTTTTATTATTTCAAATATAGGGTGATATTGTAAAAACTGGTTAATTGTTTAAGTAATACGTCCATAATGCACTGTAGATTTTTACAAAAGTAAAGGCCTTTGTTGTCTGCTTTTTAAAATATTTGGTCTGAATTAGTTTGTACTGCATGCCTGTATACTCATGCACTGCACCTTTTCTTTCACACAGTACATCTCTGGAGAAAAGGTACATCTTTTAGCCAAAAGGATCTCTTGTCACAATAAGGAATCCTTCCTTCCTTTCCTCCAGCATGATCTGATCAGACATCCTGCAAGCCTGATAAGAACTATCAAAAATAAAGGAGCAATAACAGTATTGAAATGAAGCACCAGAGGAAGAAGCTCCTGTCAGACACCAGCAACCAAACTGAAAGTCAGCCACCAGACACAAGGGCTAAAATCACTGTAGTCTGGACCCTTTTCTCAGATTCAGCAGGTTTTTTGAACATTTTTCACTGTCTGACCGAAATAGATCCTCACTTCTTTATCTCAGCAATTTTGTCACCATGTGAATAAAGAAGTTCATATTACACGTCCAACTTCATGGCTTAGACAGACTCTCTCTCTCTCTCTCTCTCTCTCTCTCTCTCTCTCACACACACACACACACACACACACATCCCTCTAGATACTGTAGATTGGCTTAAGTAACTTTAAAAGATTTGCTGACATAATTTATTTGTTTTTATTGTACACATAGACTGACATGATGTCAAAAACAGAAAGAGAGAGATCTCACATCAAGCTGCATCAATAAAGTAAAGCCACTTGGTGACTGAAGTTGAGAAACAAATAGAGGCCGAAATTCACACAAAGCCTCTGTAAAGTTGAAGTGTGATTTAATCACAGATACTAGCTGGAGCTGTAAGGAAGTGTAAGATTACAGAAACACTCCATTTAATGTATCTAATGTGTGAATTAAAAAAAGTGAAAAAAAACTTGTGTAAAGTGAAAAAACTTAGTTGTGCTTAATTTACCTTTGTCATTGTTTTGTAAAGCTTGTGCAACCTGGCAATAAATACTACACATTTGTTGACAGAGCATGGAATAGTCAATCAGCACTGGGCTTCAGACTGTAGTAGACTGAATTTGGTTCTTTGGTTTCAGGGTCAAGACTCTGGTAGACTGAATCTGATTGGTTGGTGTTGGAGTTCTGGTAGACTGGACTCATGTGGTTCAGGTCCGTAGGTTGGTCATTTTCATAATCACCATCAACCTAAAGTTACAGCAACACAGCAAGTACAATTTCACAACTTTTTACTATACATGACATAATTCATGCATAGGCCCACATACAGAAATTAAACATGTTGTGTTATTTAAAAATGTTGGTACTTAAATCAGAATCAGTTTTTTATAACTCTTCCATTGTATAATGTATCACGTTCATTGTGTTAAAGATTTAATACTGTATGTTTAGGTCTGAACACAAACGTTTACAAGAATTGTTTGTTCCTTTTATAGAAAGAAGAGTAAATACTGTTACACACAGCATTAAAGGCTAAAAACAGCTGAAAACTTTGCCAAGTGTGATGCCCACAAAGTGTGGTCTCGTTTGTGTTTATACACTGACATGCCAAACGTCACAGGACAGGAACTAGCATTATGTAGGACCCCTCTAGACCGGCGAAGTGCAGCAACTCAACATGACATTGATTCCACAAGTGGACAGAAGACGTCTGGAGGGATGTTGAGCCATGCAGTCTGGATAGCCACCCGCAGCACTGTGCTTTTTTTCTTGGTGTGAATGGACCTCTCCACCACATTCCATTAATGCTCAATTCAGGCAAACATGCAGGCAACACCATTCTCCAAAGTGCTCCTCCAACCAATTCTGGACATCTTGGGGCTGATAGCACGGCCCATTATCCTGCTAGAATATCCCATCATTGTGGGTGTACATGAAGTCCGTGAAGGGCTGCAATTGGTCACCAAGCAGTGAAACAGTCAATGAAGTGTTGAGGTGGACCACTGGAACCAACCCATACCATGAGAACACACCTCACACCAGTATGGAACCACCACCAGCCTGCACAGTGCCTTCTTGACAACTGGGTCCAGTTAACAACCTCACAAGCTTATGTGAGGTGCTGTATCCACTATTGTGGTGTTAACACAACGGCCACTAGGCTGTCCAGTGTGGGTGATAAGGCCTTCTATATATGCCTTCTCTGAGTTCCCAGTACACACTTGACACTGTGGATCAAGGAATTTTAAATGCCCTCACAACTTCGGGCACCCACTGCCATGCCTCATCGAACTCCGATAATTCACGTCGCCTTGTCATGAGCCGTCCCCTGAGGTAACGCTACTTCATAATGGATTTATATATTGCAATCCTATGACTTTTGGTTTGTCAGTTTCTTTTATCTTCTTATTTTTTATTTATTTAAATCTACCAGTTTAATCCCATTGTCAATGCACTTTAATACTAAGCTTTCTAACAGAATGCAAGTAGACCTGCTGGTAGACCTCTCGGGTGCTACCAGTAGGTGGCAGTGTAGCGACTATCAACGGTCCTGTTACATCACTTAAACCTTTTTTCAGGATAATTGTCTGTCCACACCTGGACCAGTAACACAGGCTAGTTTGTGTTTAATGTGACTCTAAATATTCTTTATCAGGTTTAATTCTGGAGCCCGAAACCTCCAGTAAAACCATTATATTTTGGGCTTGACCCATTTTACATGGAAGTACACACACACACACACACACACACTCACACACAAACAACAACATAGTTTCTCACCTCTTTATTGTCCTCCATCTGTGTCCCAGGTGAACGATCAGCGTCTGTAATTGTGCAGAACGAGTAAAACTCAGAGTCACCAAACTGAGCAACTAAGACAAATTCTTACAGGTGACATAAGAACAACTGTGGCTGTGATTGTATGTTTATGTATGTGTGTGTTTGTGTGTGTGTGTGTGTGTGTGTGTGTTTCTGTTTGTGTGTGTGTGCTACCTTGGTGCTTCTTGTGTCTCATTTTATAGTAGATCAGTGCTGAACCTCCAATCAGCAGCAGAACCACACAGACACATAGAGAGATGATGCTGACAGAGGAGCCTGGAGATGAGAGACAGAGAAAATACCTGAAAACAAACACTTTCACACATGAACACAAATGTCTTTTTATGTTTCAGTGTATATACCATACTGTTTTAGACGTCTGAACAAAACGACATTTAAAAGATCATTTATCTGGGCAGTGTGGCTTTATTTGCTTTTATTTTATTAGACATTCACTAATAATGGTAATAATCTTATTTCTATAATTACCAATAGCAGTGATACAATAAGCAGTGATTTTATGCCTGTTAATGAGTTTGTTTCCAAATGTCTCCTCACGGCAGCCCAGTATTATGTGTACTTGGTTCCATTACACAATACTTGGATTGGCTCTATCAATCTTTCATTAGGTTAAATCAGGTCTGCTGTTGGTGGAATTGAACAAATTTATGAGATGACTGAGAGCGTTAAGGAGAAATTGAATTGTCTAAAAACATCCCTGTTGTTTTTTTGTTTTTTTTTCCCACTAATGTGTGTGTGCGATTGATTTGGCATGAATGTATACAAATGCAATGCATACTTGGCTTATAGGAGCTCTTTCTGAAATGGTCTTCATCATGTGGGACCGATGTTGGTGCTGTGGATGCTGTAAAAACATACAATACAAAATTCCATAATGCGTTAAACCTTTATGAAATGCTCTTTTCAGGGACAGATCTGATCTACTTAAAGTGTTACTGTCTCGCTTTGGGTGAATCTCACTGTCCTTCACTTGCTATTAATAATATATTTAAAGGTCAAGATTCATTTTAATGATGCCACTGGAAAATATACACCTTTTGTGCATCTCACTCTCTCTCTCTCTCTCTCTCTCTCTGGTAGTGATGACTTCCTCCTTCTAAGCATTAGCCACTCTGTAATATAATGTTTTCGATAAAATACATATTTATTTTCCTTTTCTGTATAGAAATCACCTACAGAACAACTGATCACTCATATTACTTACTGTAAACCTGAATAAACAATTAATAAATGCAAATAACAAAAGATAATTTTACTGAATCTCACCAGTGACCTGTAGCTGAGTCTCTGTGTAGAGGGAGTAATAACTGACTGATTCTCCTTCATTCAACACTCCACAGAAATAAACTCCTCCATCATCTTCTCTCACATCACTGATTCTCACACTGACAACTGAAGAACTTCTGTCATCAGAGATGGAGAATCTGCCTCTCTTAGTTACTGTGGTGTCTATTACAATATTAAAATCATGGCCATCCTGTTTGAGTAAGTACTTGTAGTTTGTTTTAAACTCCTCTGGATATGAACAGCTGATGGTGACAGTCTCTCCCAGATAACCAGCCACAGTCTTTGGCCCCAAACAACATGGATCTGTCCACCACAGGAAATAAAGGAATTTGTGCAATAATTATATGTGGAATATTTCAAATAACTCATGACACAGTTACTCATTTAAATATAACATTTTATAGAAAATTATAAGACAAATAGAATTTGTAAGATGTCAGAGTTTCTCACTTTCATTCACTTTCAGGTTCACATCATGACTCCACACTCCAGCCTCTCCACAACGATATGATCCAGCATCCTGTAAACTCAGGTTTCTGTAGATCACTGTAAGAACTTCACTGGAGTCACATAGAGACAATCTGTCTGTATGACTCCATGTGTTCGGTATTTGGTTGAGATACACACACTGGTTTGATGATTTCGAACAGAAATACTTAGCATTCAATCCATACTGTTTGTGTTTGCAGTATATTACGACATTACCTCCTGGGTAGCCAATCACATCAAAGCAGCTCACTGAACCTGACAATCAAATATAATATGTTAACTCATCTCTCTGATCCATGAACTTCAACCAAATTCACTCTCCTCTGCAGTTTTCCATCAATATAAATGCAGCACTGCATCTACCAAATACAGATGAACCTGACAATCAGACACAACTTTAACTTAAAGTAGAGAAACTGACCTGAGATCAGGTAAAAGGTGAAGATGAGGAGGATCTTCATCCTGAACTGAACTTGATGTTCAAACAAACTCCTTTCTGCTATCTCCAAAGTTATGTAATTATGTTTGTCGTCTCAGAGTTAAATTCTACTCGTCTCTGTAAGGTGTCGTCCTCTCTGTCTGTGTCTCCTGTCTGGTTTGGTTGGTTCCTCTTCCTCAGTTAAGAGTTACTCAGTCTCACGGCTCCTCCCAGCAGCATCACTGACCACATACCACATATCTAAAGGATCTTATGAGACCATTTCTACGGTGTCACCTGCTTACACAATAACATAGACGTAGGTCTTGTGTTAACAGTACTTTTACACCATGAACATTTCTATTACTTCACTGTTCCCATTTACTGTAATCCACTCTTCTCATAGTTATTAATTATCAGAATAGTTCTGTTTTCTAAGGCTCCAATCTCTACTACAGTTGCATCAGTCGTTTTATAATAACATCAGTAACACTTTGTTTTACAGTCCTTTAAAGTTCTAGATATCAAGCATATTAGTGTGAGGTATGAACTGCTAAGTACCAGATTATGATTTTAATGTGACTGTAGCTTCCTCAACATTTTAACTTAATTACACTGAAAAGCCCAACAGGTTCTAGAATTTGTAGAATTTTTAGATGCCTCTTCCTTCATCAGCACCAGGACCAGGAGGTCAGCCTTGTGTCTGTAGCATTGATCTTTATTTCTTCATTGTGCACACAGTTCACAGACGCCATGCTGACTTACTGGACATAGAAAATAGCCGTGTTTATATAGGCTGGCTAAGGTACACTGTTGCCTGGATCACTGCCAAATTAGGTACAGAAGCAATACCTGTTCTTAACCTGTAAATACACAGCCAGAAATAACTGTCCTCTCAGGTACAAAAAAACATACAGATCCCAAACATGTAATAACACATAATACTAAACATAATATTACACAAAAAACACATAATAATGGCTGATTCTTCAACACTCACTGGGGAAGTGTGAGGTACAAACTTCCAAATATTGTCTCATTATTTTGCATAAAAGTATTCAGGCAGTCTAACTAAATTACATTGAAATGCAGAACAAGTTCTAGATATTAAGTTAGCCTTGAAATACAGTTTCCCGTTAGCTGAAAATAATCAAACTCTACTATGCTTTTGTAAAAATAAAAAAAATATGAAGTGAATCTGCAGAACATAAATCAGAACCTTGTTATGGTTTGTTACAGTGCACAGCAATGCTATGTTCACAATATTTTTATGAACAGATATTATCATATTATTATAACGTGTTATAAAATCTGACATTATGAAGTTGTACACTTCTGTTTTATAAAGTATTACACAAGTAACTATAACTGCGTATAAGCATTCTTAAAGGCTTATGCCAGGTCTTAGAAGGTATTATAAATGTGATACAACACCTTAAAAATTCGTTTATAATGGTTTAAGAATTCAGGATTCATAGGAAGTGTTCATAATATTGTTTATTGTTGTTTGTAATGGTCACTGCTATTAATGCTTAAGTCTAAAAAGAAAATACGCTCAACATTTTATAGTATTTATGAGCTCTTTTCTCTCTTCTCATTTAAAGAACGGTTTCTCATGTTCTTCACTGCTGTCCACGGACCATCTGCAGTGGTTTAAGATTAATTTAGTTTAAGAGTTTAAAATCTGATTTGGCAGTGATGAGATTTAAATTTATGCATATCTATCTTGGAGAGCAGCTTCCTGACCTCACAGAAAGATTATGACTATAGGAATAATGGAGTGTTTCACTCCTCTTCACTGCAGAGTTTATTAGTATTATTATTAGTTTATTATTAGGGGTGTAACATCCTTGTCCTGGAGGGCCAGTGTGCAGCACACCTTTGAGCTTTCTCTACTCAAACACACTCACTAAACCTTGCAGTTAACAGAAGCATGTGATCAAGTGTGGCTGATTAGGTAAACCACCAAACTGTGCTGGACAGCAGCCCTCTAGAACTAGAGTTGTGCATGCCTTGATTAGTCTATTGCCACTGGAAATTACACCATACATTGATTACGACACCACCTCCTGAGCAGCCAATCACATCAAAGCAGCCCACTCAACCTGCCAATCAAATCAAAGGGTCCCATCTGCTTCTCTGACCTCATAAAAATGAAACACATTCTCTCACTTCTACAGATCTGCATCAAAACAACTGCAGCACAAAAGAAATGTGTTAAATGTTTAATCTGAAGTAGAAAATCTGACCTGAGATCAGGTAAAATGTGAAGATGAGGAGGATCTTCATCCTGAACTGAACTTCAGCTTCACTGATATCCACTAAACTCTAGTCAGCTTTTTATTACAGTTTGTTTTTGCTCTGCTCAGAGTTCAATTCTACTCTTCTCTGTAATGTATAGACCTCTCTGTGTGCCTCTGTCCTCTCTTCTGTCTGGTTTGGTTGGTTCCTCTTTCTCTGGAAAGGGTCAGAGTTGCTCAAACTTACTCTCCCCACCAGCATCACTGACCACAAACCAAATTACATGCACAGGATATTACTGGATATTTTTTTTTGTGTGCTGTGACATTAATGTATGTTTCTGGCAAAGCCATGAAGCAAAACACGTACACAAAGCAAAGGTCAAAAGTGAGAACATTAAAATATCACAGAGAGATTGGAAAATGTATAGTTAAACTCAGAGGTACATGCAGAGGCGGAGCCAGAGTGCTGATAGGTTCTCCTCACCTAACGGTTAATTAGCTATTCATTGTTTCCAACTCTGATTGATGGTGCATAATGTTAGGAGCGCCTTACCCCAGAATCATTGCCTTCTTTGTTTTAGTTAGTTTTCAAACAAAGGTAAAGAAACATATTCAAACATCAAATCGGTGCTGTGGCTCCATATCTAAATTGTGAGTAAAATCCACAAAGGGCTAATTCTGTTATAGATTCTCATAACAACCTCGTTTTTGGGGTCTCCATATTTGAAATGAGCCATGTTGAATGGTGGCAATTTGGAGTTGATGCACACTTTAGAAATTTGATTTCCTGTAATTCAAAAGTTTAGTTAAGAGTCTTGGTAAAACTCTGCAGCTGGATTCCAGGCAGGGATTTATTGCTGCCTGGTGTGCCTTTTGCGGCAGAAGGTCGATAACCTCCCATGGTGTTCATGCTTCGTCCCAGGGTAACTTTCTTTTAAGCTGTAAAACTTGTTAGACAACCTAATCCTGTTTATGGCTCTTAGCACAGACTTTGTGGAGCCAGAGCTTTTGGTTTGAGTGATGTGGACAGTTCTTGTGAACAAGAGCAACTTAGGCCCAACCAGATGGTGGTGTTCACTACAATGGAATGGTCAGTCAACGTTGGAGTTTAGTAGACTGAATTTGGATTTTTGGTTTTGGGGTTGGGGCTCTGGTAGACTGAATCTGATTGGATAGTGTTGGGGTTTAGCCTCTGGTAGACTGAATCTGATTGGTTGGTTTCGGGGTTTATACTGTGGTAGACTGAATCTGATTGGATAGTGTTGGGGTTTAGCCTCTGGTAGACTGAATCTGATTGGTTGGTTTTGGGGTTTATACTGTGGTAGACTGAATCTGATTGGCTGGTGTATTTCAGGGTCTGGTAGACTGGAATCATGTTGATCAGGTTTGTAGGTTGGTCATTTTCATAATCACCATCAACCTGAAATTACAGCAACACAGTGAGCACAATTTCAAAACTTTTTACTACATATTACATAATCACCATACAGGCCTACATACAGTATGTTGATCTTTAACATGTGTTATTTAAACTTTTTGGTAAAAAGATCAACGTTTTTTATGACTCTGCATTGCATTTTATAATGTATTGTGTTCATTATATTAAAGATTTGATACTGTATGTTTAGGTGTGAACATATAAAATTGTACAAGAATTGTTTATTCTTTTTACAGGAAGAAGAGTCAATATTGTTCCACTCAGCATTCATGGCTTCAAACAGCTGAAAAACTTTGCCAATTGTGTTGCCCACAAAGTTTAGTCATATTTGTGTTTATTTGTGTTTAAAAGTCATGAGACAGGAACTAGTATCGTGTAGGACCCCCCACTAGCCCAGTGAAGTGTAGCAACTTGACGTAGCATTGATTCCACAAGTGGACAGAAGTGTTTGTAGTTGCAGGATTTTTGGTGTAAATGGACCTCTCCACCACATTCTATAAATGCTTGATTGGGGCAAAAGTGCAGGCTACATCATCCGTTGGAACTCTCCAGAATGCTCCTTAAACCAGTTCTGGACATGTTGGGCCAGGTGGCATGGTACATTATCCTCCTGCAATATCCCATCATTGTTGTGATACAAGAAGTCCATGAAGGGCTGCAAATGGTCACCAAGCAGTGAAATAGTGAATGATGTGTTCAGGCAGACCAGTGGACCCAACCCATGTCCTGAGAACAGACCCCACACCACTATGGAACCACCACCTGCCTGCACAGTGCCTTGTTGGCAGTTGGGATCCATGGCTGGGGTCCATGCCCAAACTTGTTTGCTCCTTTTCATGCACTCGTCTACAGCTGGAATGTTGGTAGTCACAGTGATCCATGTCAGCGGAAGTTTATATCCCAGCACACACTGGAAGGGTGTGATGATTGTTTTGTGCCATTTCAGCCCAAGGCAAGAATCGAGCACAATCGGACTGGTTCTCATGGTGGTACAGTCTGAGAAATTTGCCTAGCTTTTGATTGGTCCTTTCACACTGTCCTTTAGACTGAGGATCGTATCCAGAAGTGAGACTAACACTAACACAGATGCATTTAAAGAAGGCAAATCAAACAGAGCTAAACTAAGGTCAGATAAAATGTCCTCAAGTATCCCAAAAAAATCTATAAACGTGGTTAAAAAGTCTTAGGTGTTTTATATTTAATGCAGCTAGTACAGAATGCCACAAATTGGTGAACATCAGCTGGCATGTTCTCCCACCAATATCAATTGCTCAATAACTGTTGGGTACATGTCTCATTTGGGTGACCAGAAGTCAGAGATGAGTTGGCCCACGTAATTAGATGATCTCTAAATTGTACTGG